GATGCGCAAGCACTGGGATTATGAGTCTGACGCTGAGGATTCTAAAGACGTAGATGGCGGAGATGATGGTCCTGCTTAGTTGCTTGGAGTTCCCCTTGCCATTTGTGACAAAAAGGGGGAGTGGGGTTAATTTTTGGAATTTATACTGATAATGTACTATTGATATTTTTAGCTGGATTACGTATTGATGCTTTGCACTATTGATGTATGTTTTTGGTTGTTTGACTGACATTGATATTATCTCTTAATCTAGCATATTAGTACATTGTTATGGCTATTCATGACTCTTTATCTTTTATGTACTTATGTTACTGTTTCTCATGCTTTTACACTAGGTATGTGAGTTGTGATTTCAGGAGACAGGTTGAAAGATGATAAGGCAACAGTGAGTTGAGTCTATGTATTGGATTGCCATTGTTGCTGTAATTTGCTTTTGTCACAGAATGCCAAAGGGGGAATTTGTTAGATTTTGTGTTGGCCATTCTGTGAACAAAAGGGTAAAAGTGTAAATGATCAAAAGTCTGGGGTCAATTTGTCAATTATTAAAAGTTAGGGGTCATTGTGCACATGTGTAAAAGATGAGGGACTCAGGTGCAATTTTGGGAAAGTGTGCTAGGGTTCGAGCTATGAAGTAGGGCAAGATGTGTCATCGAAATTTTGCTAGCTGCTCGCCAAGTGGTCGCTAAAGTGACAAAAACAGAATGGTCGTCGCTCACTTCTCGCCCCCACTTCGCTCGAGTGAAACAGCGTCACGCGCTTGTCGCTCGAGCGACAGTGTTATCCATAAAACCCTATTTTCCTTTTTTCGACATTTTAACCCGACTAGAAATACCAAAAAGTGAGATACATGAGAAAAACTGCGACGATTTTTTAATGTGCTTTCAAGGTATTGAAATTGAAGAAAACTCTCCTACACTTTAACTTTCTCATTCAACCCTATATTTGATTTGACCAATTACATGACAAATTTCAAATCAACATTCATCAAACATCACAACACAATCTTCTAGTACCTTTGTTGATTCTTGGAGATCGGAGTCCCGATCATTAGAGAACAGGCGGCTCTCTTAAATCCACGGGACATAGACGAAATCAAGACTTGGGAATTGGTGTAGCACGCAATCCAGGAGGGCTAGGTGCCGAGAGTTGGTGCAGGATCACACATTCCAGGAAGGGCTTGAGGAAACTATGGTCAGGATATCAGAAAACCAGTGTAGGTTGAGTCTGGCTGATTGTAAGTTTCATTTATGTTTATAGTGGATTCCTTCTGGTTTGGACCCGAAGTTTTACCCACATTGGGGTTTCTCCGTCATCAAACAATTGTGTTATTTATCTTTCTACAATTAATTTATTACCGGTATTCAAACATAAGATAGTAAAGCATGTGAACTAATCTAGACAAATTAATTTTTGTGACGTGTTGCAATTATTAATTGATTGAAAAAGAAAATTTCGCATAAACACCTATTCACCCCCCCTCTAGGTGTTGATTGGGTCGAACTACGATATTTCAGAAGCAACAAACGGAGAACGTATTCTATATGAGGTGTTATATCAACAACAAAGTATGTATCATGATTATTGATGGTAGTAGTTGTACTAACGTGGCTAGCACTACATTTGTTGAGAAACTGGGGTTAACCACGTTAAAATATCCTAAGCCTTATAGATTGCAATAGTTGAACGAATGTCGAGAGGTTAAGCTGAATAGGAGAGTGTAAGTTTTTCAATTGGTAGTTATTATGATGAAGTGATGTGCGATGTAATTCTTATGCATGCCAGACACATTTTATTGGGAAGGTCATGGCAATATGATAGGAATGTGATTCATGATGGGTACAAAAATAGATACAGCTTTACCAAGGATGGAAAATCTATTACTTTTGCACCAATAATATTGACACAGGTGTATAAAGACCAAATCAAATTAAAAAATGAGAAAGAAAAGAGATTGAGAGAATTAGAAAGCAAGAGAGAAAATAGTGAGGTGGCTAATAGTGATAAAAAGGAATAGAGCCACAAGAGAGAAAAGAAAAAGAATCTTTCGAGAAGAGAAAAAATTCGAAAGTGAATTTCTTTGCAAAATAGAATGAATTGAAGAGAATGATAGTTGAGAAGCAACCAATGATCTTATTGGTCTATAAAGAGTCTCTCTTCAATCTTGAGGAATATAACACGCCCCTCCCTAGTTTGGCTACATCTTTGTTGCAAGAATTCGAAAATGTTTTCCCGAAGGACATGCCTAGTGTGTTACCACCAATTCGAGGCATTGAGCATCATTGAGTTCGTACTTGAAGCTGTCATTCCAAACGGGTCAGCTTACTAAAGTAATCCTTAGGAGACCAAGGAGTGAGGGTATGTGAGGGAGAGTATGAGTCCATGTGTCGTGCCAGTGCTACTTGTGCTAAAGAAAGATGGAACTTGGATGATGTATGTGAATTTTTAGGCCCAACAATATAATTGTAAATTATCGTCATCATATTCCTAGGTTAGATGACATGTTAGACAAATTACATGATGCGTGCATTTTTACTACAATTGATCTTAAAAATGATTATCGTCAAATTAGAATGAGGGAAATAGATGAATGGAAAACCGCTATTAAAACTAAATATAGATTGTAGAAGTGGTAATTAATGCCATTTGGACTTACTAATGCATCTAACACATTTATGCGATTAATGAATCTTGTGTTGCGTGCATTCATAGGTAAATTCATAATAGTTTACTTTGATGACATCTTGGCATATTGTAAAGATTTAAATGGGCATATAGAGCATCTAAGGTGTGTGCTTGTGGTCTTAAAATAAAAACAACTTTACGCTAACTTTAAAAAGTGTATATTCTATATGGAAAAAGTTGTTTTTCTTGGGTATGTTGTTAGTATATCTATATTCTCTTCTGTATAAGTTTCAAAATGGTGAATTGAGGTAGAGTAGACCGATGATCTTGGAGTCATTTGACCGGCTAGCAAAAGAAAAAGCTTGCATCTGCTCCATCTATTATATAACCAGTCCCATCTCTCACCAAACCTAAAGGGGTAGTTTCCCTTTGTATTGATTTATATGCAATGTGCTCTTCAGGTTCAAGTAAAATCGGCTTTTTGTAGCGTCGAAAATGTTGATTTGCTGACTTTTAAACTTCTCTATTCTACTTGTTTATGATATTTTTGGACTCAAATTCTGGATTTCCAAGATTGTGGAAGGTCTGGCTTCGATAGATTATCGTCTCTCTTTTCCTCTTGTGCGTAAAATGAAGTCATGGATGATGTGAAAGATTTAAATGTAATGTGGTACAGGGAAATAAAAATATTTTGTTTTAGAATTTGATAACGTTATGCAAGTAACAAACCTATATTTCTGAAAAGAAAGGTTGTTATNAGGGAAATAAAAATATTTTGTTTTAGAATTTGATAACGTTATGCAAGTAACAAACCTATATTTCTGAAAAGAAAGGTTGTTATTCATCTAAAAAAATTTCTTTATAATTCTACATTACCAACCACTGAAGGGGAAAAAAGGGTAAGAGAAGAAAGCGTGTTGGCATCGATCAAGACGATTGGAGCAATGAAATAATAATGCAGAAATGGAGTGTTCAGCATGAAGAATTGGATAGCACTCGACAACATTATATAAGAAAAAAAAATCTAAAGTAATGTTAATTATATACTCTCCAATCCTATACAGTACTCTGTGACAAAAATGCACTCAAATACCCACCTCAATTAATTTGTGGTATCATTTTTCGTATTTTCATCCGGTCCACCACAGCTTGGTCAAATTGACGATCTAAAATCTAGGTAAGTTATATGTTTTGCGTTGATGATTTCCTTACGTTGAGTGCACAATTTTATAGTAAATATCTATGCACAAGCTTCCTACTGATTGACCAATTTTTATAGTTCAAGGATTCTTCATATAACTCATCCAGGTCTATTGGCTAAGCTTAAAAGTAAACTTTCGAGTATTTTTTGGATTCTAAATGTGTCTGAATAGGTTACTTTCCTATATTAAGTACCAAGGTAGAAATTGCTTTCAAAATAAGGAACTTACTTTCAGCTTTGACCAAAATAAAGATGTACTCATTTTCAGATTTGTTTTGACACCGTAATTGCTCAATGCTCATCATAGAATAGCTTTTTATCAGTTTACTTTCCTAATGGTAATTATCTTACTCGTCTATACCTTTTTTCTTGCATATACTTCTGCCCGCCAATGGTGAAGCGGTAAAGCACAATTATAAACTGAAAAAGACTGCACAACCGTGGTATGACTGAACAAAGGTCTGTGCACAGCTTTGTTCTACAGATGTCTTACCGACCCCTCACATGGGGTCAGTCCCATGCGGGTTCCGATGTAATAAAAAATGAAGAAAAAAAATCCCGACCCCACTCCTACGTCAAAACTCTGTAAGAGTTTTGTAATGTGCTGGGCTGTACGCCCAGCACTGCTCTGTACGACTTGCCGATTTGTTTGGCTTTGGAGAAAGTTTGGAACTTCCTCGCAGATATCAAAGTCCGTATGCAAGTTTTGAATGCTCTGTAACAGGCAGGACATGCACCTTCAATCATCCACATGAAGTCAAAAAAGCAAAGTGGATGCTAACTGTATCTGTAAGTTGACGAGGGTAAAATAGTTTTGTCAATGCTTTGTATAGGCCACAAACAAACAAGGGGTGGGTGAATTTATGTTTTTTAAATAATTCCCCACCCCCTACCCATCCAACTCAGCATTAACACTGGCCTGTACAGCGTACACAAGTGTTAAGTGGAAGTGCACTCACAAACGTCACTATTTTATGCATAACAGTGGAGAAATGGGCACGATCTTCTTGCAACATAACAATGAAAACGTGCCATCTAGGTTCCCCAAATTGGTATCTCGGGAATCTGTGTACAGTACTAGGTTGTAAACACATTACAGTGAAACAAATTATTACTTATTTTCTTCTTCAGTACTGGTCAATGCATTTATAATCTACCATACCAAACATGATGCATGTTCATAGCTAAGCTATTCGGTATTATTCTATTCATGTGCTTGTACTTCCACTTTGTCACAGAGTACAAGTCCATGAAAGCCAATTTCTGTAATTGAATTCATCAATTCTGATGTTTCTCAAGGACAAGAATTTTCAAGAGAAGCTACAGTAAAAATTCTGTGTCCTTAAACTTCTGTGATTCAGTGACGAACTTTCAAGTTGCATTCTGAGTCTCGCCCCACACAGGTATTCAACTGTTCTGGAAGACAATTCTGTATGCACTTTGAGGTTTACTCACTTGGTATGGCACCAGAACCATGCTGACGAAGCAGGGAAAATTCGTATTTCTAGCATATAAAATGCCTTGCCTTCACTATATTATATTTCTTTTCACGGTAAAAAAAGGGTCGAAATTCAATAGATATCACCGTAAGTTTTTCTATGAGACAAAGGTGGCATGATACAGAGGAGTAAAATCTAAAGATCCACTAGGGATACACCTAGAAAATGAACAGGGAAGAATGATTCGACATTCTTACAATCAATTTTCTTTATGCTTGAATAGTTTCAGCAACTGTTTTTAAAATTCTTCTTCAGGCCAGACCTGCAGAAAACAAAATAATATGCATACGTCATTTCTTTTATGGTAATTAGATGATATACGTTAGGAAGAATTACCTAGACTTGAACTATTTCAGGAAGACTAACTTAACAAAGCCCAGTTGAAAAGATTAAAACCACAGATGTCACAGTTCTATGAAATTGGTAGCAAACTTCACTAAAATAACAAAATGAATTAAACCAGTTTTTTCAATGGAACCAGTTAAAATATTCAAACCTAAAATAAAAATAAGATTTCTGCCAACGGACTATGCATGTCTAGATAATTTAGGAAGGGTATGATGCATCTATTTTAACTTCCAGAAATAATTAAAATTTAAAAGCATTTCCCTAAGTCAAGTCTATTAACCACCAAAATAAACTACCTTGCATAAACCCAAAAGCTCACTCTTCTGATTCAAATGCTGGCTGGTGTGTTTTAACAATACAGTTTATGTAACTACTCACATGTAGTCCACCATTCAACCTCTTCAACACATTCATCTAGGAATGGGGATATGCCAAGTACTAAAATATTCTAAAGTAGTTCTTGTGCAATGTTTAATGACACACAGAAAATTGCTTACCCAGTGTCACCGTCTATTTCTAGGTTTGCAGCGGAATTCAGCTAAGAGCGCTATATGATCTGATGACCACTCTGGAGAAGGAAGAGCTGTATCTTTTCGCAAGCTATCCTCATCCAAAAGCTCCAACAGTGATTCCACAGTTAAGGAGTCCGCTGAATGCACAAATTAAACTCATCTCTTAAAACATTTAAAATAATTCCAACAATGCAAATGAGCTATTTATAAAATTGCAAATAAAAAAACATTAAACATAATAACAAAGACTAAATTGTTGCAAACAAACTGAATAAAATGTGACCAGCACAAAACATCAAATAGATACCTGAATAAAATATGTAATCATGAGTACTAATAAAATCTCTGGTGCAGTTCGTAAATAGGGGTTCATTTGTCCCAGGATCCATTTTCCTTCTCTGCTCTAGACCAAGACCAACTCCAACTCTTGCAAAAGATGAGTATGCACTTACCTTTTTGAGTAGAACATCACAACCAGAAATGTTAAGCAACGACTCACATATTTTAGACAAATAAATAGTTGGAAGCATCTAAAAGACTTATTAGGATGATACCAGTGGCAGCTGATGTGTCAGTTTGCTAACAGGCCGAAGAATTTGAAGTGGGTCTACTGCTAAATCTGGATGCATCTGATCAACTTTCCCCATGGCAAGGAGGGCATGCGGAGCACTGCATTTTAGTTCAAATGATTAGCATTCAGCAATTTGAGGCAAGGTGGATGCTTTAAAGTTTAAACATAGAAACTATACACATGTCGCAATAAGTGACCATATAGTTAAAGATGAAAGCCGACGAACCTTCCAGGAACTGAGTTGAAATCTCCACACACCAACATTGGGATATCTGCACTTGCAGCAATCTTTTCCAATCCTTTCAAGAGTGTGTGAACCTAACATGCACAACGAGGATGATAGCAACTTAAGAAAGTGAAACTGAGTTCAACAGATTGAAGAGATAATAACATCATCTAACAGACCTGCCAAAGCTTGACATCTTTCAAATCTTGATGCACATTAACATGCGTGTTAGCCTGCATTCAGAAAATCAAGAAAGATACTGATTGCCTACAAGAACCATTTGAAGCTGTGGGTATAGCGATGAAACTAATTGGGGGGGGGGGGGGGGGGGGANGTAAAACAGGGCTTTACACACTGATAATTACCAAGAACAAGTTAGAAATGAATGTTAAGATAAATAATCTTTATTCATTATTGGATTGTATTTATCAATGATCTTCTAAAAAGATTAACAATAACAAAAAGGGTTAGCAATAACAAAAGTAACAAGCTAGGTTGACATGACTTTTAGATGCTCTTATGCTCCTCTTTCATGAAAATCAAAATGTTCTAATCCCAGCATTGATTCCAGTAGTCTCAGTTCAATTAAGAAAGCTGCACCTCGATGCTCAGAAAATATCAGGCAAAATCTTAAAGAGCGTCAAAATAACATTAAATCCAAAATTCAGCCATATTGCATTATATGAACTTGTCTCACACCTCAATTAATACAGGTCTGCCTGCCCCTCTCCCTCTCTTGTGGGCAATATTACCATGCAAAACTTCTTTCTTTTTTTGAATTTGGGACGAGAGGATTACATGAAATCACATGATACAGTCTTACTCGTTAAGTTTTATTCCTGTAAAACGATACTACATATTTAATTTACCTATACATAAGAGGAATCACAAGATATATGATAGGAAAACCAATAAAATTACCCAATAAAAAAAATTATTATATATACTAAGTTGACAAAAATATCTCAGAAATAGACCCATCAAAAAAAAATCTCATAAGTGTTCTCCATTTCCACATGTCGATATAGGATGAAAAGGATATGCTCACATTCATCTAATGTGATATCTCTACTCTATCTCAGCATCTCTGCCTAGAGAATATCCTGATCCTGGAATAACCTACTCAGCCGTTGATAAATTTAGGAAATCCTATTCGCAATCGACCATCTCTAAAATCATACATAGGATTATGTGTAAATCTCTACCAATCGTTTCCACAGGACAAAATTTCCTAGGGAATTATGTGGCTGATTTCCCCCTTCCAAAATCAGTTATGCCATAGTAGCCACTCGGATGAACCTTTCTTATGGAGATCAACACACATTTAGGGCCTGATCCAAAAGAGAATAGAGTTCTTCTCACTTTCTGACAATCTTTGTCCTTCTCTTTAGGAAGGGGATAGGGAGAGCTCTTCTATTTTGCTTCATGGTTCTCTTAATTAATTGCCCTTCTCTGTTCAAACTGAGAATTCCATCTGATGGGAAAGACTTCCTAAATGAAGAAGCCCCAGAGTTCTTCACTCTGCCATCCAGAGTTCCCAGCCATGACAAGCGCTAATGTAGAGCCAGAAACATACAGCAGTAGATTGAACAAAAGGAGACATAATACTTGCCTTCTTCACATTGAAAGGTAAATTTTGAGAAGAACAATTAACCCGTATATATAGTCCAGTATATCTTATTCTTTAATTTTCTTTGAGTGGGAGGAGTCCGTAATAGTCCCCAAGGTCTAGTATTTGGAGTGCTATCTCATGGAATGGTTATCAATGCTAAAAAGTCAGAGCCAGCACAAACTAAAGCAGGATAATGGAACAAAAGCCGCTAATCACCAATAAATATGATAGGTCAACGACTCTATTAAACGAGTGCAGAAAAAGGAAGGTATGGACAAATGTTGCCAGTCATGTTAACAATTAAATAGCATAATGGCAGTTGCACACTCAGAGTGAATCTCTTACCACACAAACAAGCTGCCTCTTCCCCAGATTATCGACACCGTGATTACTGAACTTGGCTTCTAGCACTACAATTAGTGCAACATTATCCTATATAAAAGAAGAGAATGCTTAAAAACAAAATCCTTAGCTGTTTGGAGTAAGCGAAATTAATGAGCCAAGTTATAGTACAGATTCAGGCCCAAACCAAAATAAAAAATCATTCATTGCAATACCTTGACCAATCGATTTAAGGCGGTTTTCTTCTGAGCAGTTGGAACCACAGCATCAGTCAGAGATTGTGCAGCTTTGTTGAATTCAACCTACACACAAGCATGCCATTGATTAAAATGACAATGAAGGAGTTAATAGCATGATGGATATGGTCAACTTTGTCACCTCATATTTCTTGACATGTGAAAATCTATCTCGGCGGAAGAAAGTAGCACAACCATCGATAGTGTTGATATTTCCACTGAAAACCTGCATAAAACAATAGCATCATCAATGACAAAGAATTTAGACCAAGTCAATAGATGCTTTAACCAACCTCGGCTGTTTTCCTTTTAAACAAGGCTTGATAGCCATATTTATCCAGCTCAGGTGCAAAAAATTCTTCAAAATGATCACTTTGAACCTGAAATAGAAAAGACACAGTAAATAAAATGCTATATCAGGGTTTTAACGGCGTATCTACCGCATTAATCATTTTGTGCAAGCTAGACAGGAGCAGAAATAGCCAAATACTAACAGGCACTCAGAAGTGTAAAATTTCACTTCTAACAGCTAATCAACTTGGAGAAGCGGTTGTTATTTATGGAAAAGAATAGAACTTGAAAAACATGAGAAGACGGGACGAGCAGATCCATATAAATATATTAGGAAATATTTATTCAATTAAAGTTTTCTGGATATTCCTCAATGTCCCAGCAATTCACGGAACGTGAGAGGCAGATGTAAGAAAAGACTTACCAAAAATACTTGTTTACTACTCCAAGTTACTTTAAAGACAGTGAGAGTGCTATCTTAATTCTTGTATAAGAAATATCCATAGAGACCTAATCCATAAGCGAATATATTCATCACTTTGAAAGAAATGAACCTCGATGAATTGGCATTTGACCAGAATAACATACGTGAATCAAAAGGAAATTTTAACATTTGGAGCCACTTTAATATTAGTCAAGTTTAACCCAAAATGGCCAATGCTTAACCAAAGATGAGGGTATTAAACAGCTCCATTTTCGGTCAACAAGTATTGCATTTGTATTTACAATTCTTATTTCCTCCAATATTTCTGATACGTTCCACCTACCATACTAATAAACTTAAATACCAGGTCCAGCCAATAACTAAAGCTTTAGAAAGCACGAGCAATTTCTTATCCAGTTGTACCTCTTGAAGACAAACAATATCAGCACGGTAGCCAACTATTTCTCGTAACAGATTTTGCCTGCGGTAAGGCCAAGAAAGTGCCCAAGAGGGGCAATAGCTGTATAATTCACTAGTAGCATATGCATCAGATAAAACGTTGTATGAGAGCACAGTAAAAGTCCCTGCAGATAAAATGCGGCCATCCAAATCTAAATGCCCAGGAACATCAGCACCACTCACTGAAATCAAGCGACGGGGACTGGGAGATGGAGCTGGAATTACACGGGACGTTAATATGGAATTAGAATGTGCCACAGATGATTTTGTTTCTGCATCTACGATGGCACACTCAAACTTAAGGACATGTCCGATATCATCAGCTGTTGGTGTGTATGTCTTGGAATGGCCAACTTCAAACCATGTTTCACCACCATTCCTGTGAGCAACTGTTGGAGGATACAGAGGTGTGGCACCATTTGTCAAGCTGGAGCTTGATTGAGACCCAGACAAGCTCATATTTACCATGCTGGATCCTGTACTACCTGTACTGTTGAAACGTCCAAAAACTTCTTCTTCCTCATTTCCATTTTCATTTCCAGAACTAGCAGCACGCTCATGTAAAACACGATGATGTTGCCATGCATCTGAAAAACATTTAGGAGAACAATGGTAACTCTTAGCAACAGGTATTTTGGCCTTCAAACATCCAAGGCACTGTAATGTAGCTTGCTCAGATGGGTGGACACTACAGACTGCAACTTTTTTATCACTTTGTATACGGTACCTGAAACAAACAATTTATTTGTTTCTCAAAAATTATTTGACAGAACCAATTTAACGTTACACGGTCTAACACCCAGCTGGACTCCAATTATAAAAAGATGCAAGTCAACAAATAAAAGTCACATATATCATTAAATCTTATAAAACTAAAAAATCAGAACCAACATAATAACGAAAATAAATTCAGGAGGTCTATACACGACTGAGATAGAAGGTCAGATAGAAGGTCCATGGAATGCCAATTATGCGCATGATACAAGGTTGAGACACATGTTTCTAAAACTTAATGGTATTAATGATCCCCCATGCCAGTAAGTTCAAAATGAGTACAATAACAATAAATCGTCCACAGTTAAACTTATGTCGATAATGAAGCATTGAATATAACAATAGCAAATTTCTGTAGTTTTCTGTGTGCTTTTCAATAGACACACTTTTCTCATTTTTGGTTTTACTAAAAATTAAATTTTTAGATGCCAGATTAAGTTCAAGATGAGTACAATAACAATAAATCGTCCACAGTTAAACTTATGTCGATAATGAAGCATTGAAAATAACAATAGCAAATTTCTGTAGTTTTCTGTGTGCTTTTCAATAGACACACTTTTCTCATTTTTGGTTTTACTAAAAATTAAATTTTTAGATGCCAGATTAAGTTCAAAATGAGTACAATAACAATAAATCGTCCATAGTTAAACTTATGTCGACAATGAAGCATTGAGTAAAATAACAATAGCAAATTACAGTGGTTTTTCTGTGTGCTTTTCTATAGACACAGTTCTCTCAGTTTTGGTTTTGCTAAAAATTAATTTTTTTGGCAATTTAGATAAAAGCTGATGAAATATGTGGTTGAAAAGTTTATAAAATGTGGGATTGAAAATGAGTTTGAGGAACAAATCATGAAACTTCATTTCAAAGAATTACTAAAAATTAAATTTTTAGATGCCAGATTAAGTTCAAAATGAGTACAATAACAATAAATCGTCCATAGTTAAACTTATGTCGATAATGAAGCATTGAATAAAATAACAATAGCAAATTACAGTAGTTTTTCTGTGTGCTTTTCTATAGACACAGTTTTCTCAGTTTTGGTTTTGCTAAAAATTAATTTTTTTGGCAATTTAGATAAAAGCTGATGAAATATGTGGTTGAAAAGTTTATAAAATGTGGGATTGAAAATGAGTTTGAGGAACAAATCATGAAACTTCATTTCAAAGAATTAGCCTTGAGTTTTCAATTTACAAGCCCTAGAGCTAAACATGCATAAACAAACTAATATAACATTACCAAAACAACCCACAATCCAAATAAGTAACATCAACGATGAAAACTAATTCTTGAAAAGTAACTATTTAAAGCTAACCATTTATATCTCAAGAAGTGGCCGTCCACGGGATTGGACTCGGTAACATCATCAGTAGTAACGGAATTCTTGTCCGGGCGTCTCAGCAGAACGTACGGTGTCAGCTCACACCCAACAATAGGAATGTCGGACGGAAGATGAACCCGCAGCACAGTCAGCATTTTCCAGAAAGCTCTAGCGAATTCAATGTTCTCCACTCTACTCCTACGTTAGTTCCAAACTTTAATCCTAGACCTAGGAAAGCAAAAATCGACGATTGGAGCACCAATTGTTGGCGGACACGTAGCAGATCCGCCATCACCTGATTCCGGCGCCAATCGCCAGCCTTGTGCTCTTCCTGTTTAAATAAAACCCCAATAAAATTAAGAACTTCAGGAATGAAATTAATCAAAAGGGAAAATTTTGAAGATCGAGATAGATTAGGAGAATGGAAAGGAGGGGAAATCAAAATGTGAAAAAATGGTAATTTAAAGGGAATTGACGGATCGATGGGGATACATATATGGTTGCATGTAGTTGTAGAGAGAGTGTGAAGATTTTAGAAAGAGAAAGTGGAGGGATCGATTGATTGGTGAATTAGGGTTTTTCAAAGCCACAGAGAGAGAGAATGGGTGGCAGTCGGCTCAACATTTTAATAGGAAGGGGATGGGCCTCTGTGTTGCGGGTGAAGTGTAAAAACTAAAAATCGTTATTTTCCATGGGGCTCCCCAATCTTTTGTAAGTGTGGCATTCATATCCCTGACCTACTGCTTATTGCATTCATGTCTTCAATCTTCTAAAATTGTGGCACCCACATCCCCATCAACGAGAAACGTTTATTTGAGAGCCTGTTTGGGAGTGATTTTGAGAATTTATTTTTTGACTGTTAGGAGAAAAGTGGGGTCCATCTGTGAGAGAAGAAGTCAAATATGACAGTTGAAATAGTGAAATAACGATCAAAAAATCAATTTTTTTTGTTGAAAAAATCGGGCCCAAACAGGCTCTGGATGTTAAATGACCACGTGATACTCATGCAATGTTGAACTAAAATGGTAAAATAGTTCAGAAATATTTCCTTTATTCCAAAAACAACCATATTGTGGCTTCAACTTTTATTAAAATTTTGATTAGACTTAAACTTTATCTCTTTGCTTTGACTGATGCATCACTACGTGAATCTCACATTATCAATTAGCATTAAAAATATTTTCTATTAATTAAGGATATGAGTATCACAATTTTGAATGATTAGAAATATGGAGCCCATTCGATCAAATGATGGAAGGGAAAATTTCACAAGTTAGATATTAAGTATGGGACAATTCAATTTTCAGGTTTAAGTCTCAAAATTCAAAAATGGGGTGTTAATTAATTAGTTAATTATATTTTATTAATTAAATGTATTAAGGTCATAATTATACAATTAATAGTTACGGGTGCATCCTTATAAGCCATAACTTATTTATTGGTCACATATTATCAAATTAATTAGTCATATATTATTTCATAATCACAATAAATAAATTTGATGAGTCACGTATCAAAAACTTTATAGGCCACAATTTATTTGTTGGTCACAAATTATTGAATTTTTCTGTCAAAATTAAATAGTTGGTTACAAATAACAAAATAATTGATCACAGAGTAACTAAGTAGTTAGTCACATACACCAAAAAGTTGATCACGTAACACCTCCAACACAGCCTGGTAGTGCCACCATGACAAACACAACCCACCTGTGACCACCACCACATATGTTGTCATTGCCATCGACAACTGCAAAACCACAACCACACACCACAATAACCACGAAAAACACCACTATAGCAACCATCAGTTACACAAACCACCATAACTATCAAAGGTATCAAAGTCAGGAATTATAAGAAAAAAGAAAAAGGAAAATAAATAACAAATATGTGCCACTGTGAATCGCCTACTATCATATTAGAAGTAACGACGATGGGCGTGCAACCACCGCCACACTAGATCGCAATAACGAGTCTTGTTATTGCTTCAAGCAGAACGCCACTTGACACTAGATCTTGCCATACTTAAGAAGCAACAACGGCGACAATGAGCGCGATTTGTGGACGAGTGATTTTTGAACAGGCAATAGTGGGCAGCTTTGTGGACGAGCAACACGGGACAATGTTGAGCAACTATAGTTTGATTTGTGTTGATTGCCAGCATGAAGGGTGGCGATGATGGTTTTGAGATGGTATTTGAGGGGGTTTTGAGTGATCTCTTCCTCCTATGATCTGCTTAATCGGATTTTGAGATGGTTGTTAGTTGTGTTGGTGGAGGTGGTGGAGCAAGTGGTGATAATGTGGTGACAGTCGTGAACTTGGATAAAGAGATGGAAATGATAGAGAGGGAAGAGAAGAGAGGGGATTGATGTTAGGGTTTGGAAGTGTGGGTTGGGGTAGGTAAATTAATTTAATTTTATATTATTATTATTTTTAATATTCATAAATTATCGGCTACGAAACCATCTTTGTTTCCGGATAGGTCTTAGGCGAATTTATGGTGAATAAGCAAGGTGATTCCCTTGCCCTTGATGCTCAAGTTGTAACGAGTCTTTCAACTCATGAGATGCTCTCTAATATACTCTATTTTGTGTTGAGTGAAGGGTGGTCTAAAGAGAGCGAGTGTGATTTTTACACTGAATCATTCAATTCGATTACAGAATTCCAACAAAAGAATTATTACCTGATTTTTCATTAAATAAACTTCACACCTGATTTTTGAATTTAAAAACTTAAATGCCCGTTTGCATGTACCACAAATAAACTTGTATAGCGTAGTATAAAGCATATATACATAATCCTAAAACATAACTAATTTTTTTTTTTTTTTAAGAGAAGTATGAGAAGTATACACTTGCTTGTTTAAAAGGTAATATTTCATAATAAATGTAAAAATAAATAAATAAATAAAAAATAGTAAGGAGGGAATCACATTTCCCAATATAATTACAAAATCGTTTTTTTCAAAAAAAAAAAAAAAAAAAACGGTTATGATGAAAAAGCGTTGGTTGTCCAAGAAAATAAAGATAGTAATAACCCTTCTCATATTATTATAAGGTAGAATTCATACATCAGTGTCAAAGCCTAATTTAATCAAAATTTTGAATAAATGTTTGTTTATTTTGTAAAAATAAAAAGCTAATTTTGATTAAAATGTTATTTAGATATAACAAAGGTTGTTAAGAAAACCAAACTTGGTGTAGCACTAGAGCAAAGTTGTCCAAGAAGAATAAAAATTAACTTTCTCTAATCTAAATATTGTATTCTTGTCTCAATTACGATAAAATGTGGACAAAAACAAAGAGATCGAGTTTAATCAATTTTATTTTGGCTTAATAAAAGATGAAAGGGTACATTTACTTCTGCATGATAAAATATGTATTTTGATCTTTGAAAATACAGGAAAAGCTAAAGTAATTGTGAATTACCTCGCCATTGTAATTTGCGCAAGAATTTAGGTGCTTTCATTAGCATATATATGAGAAGGCGAGTGCAACTTGATAAATATTATCAAATTTAGTACTGGTTTGGCTAAAAAGTAGTTTATGCCCTTGCTTGAGCCCCATTTTTGGGGAAAGAATGAATTTTTGATTAGTTGTATTAATGGGACTGTTTGGGAGTAATTTTTTGGTCTAAAAAATTGATTTTTTTACCATTATTTCACTATTCCAACCGTCATATTTGACTTCTTCTCTTATAGATGGACCCCACTTTTCTCCTAACGGCCAAAAAATCAATTCTCAAAATCACTCCCATACGGACTCTAATTGTTAAAAAATAAGAAAAAGTTTTGAATGTATGTGTAATATTATTTTATTTAAGAATGTGTAGTAAAAATGATGTCAAAATACCGTTGAAAAATATATTTTTTCAAAAGAATGGAGCTCAAACAAGAACTATATAAAAGTTCCACAACCACGAAAAGATAACAAATTTAGTTATGGCGTATGTAAATCAATTACTTTGACATTCCAGATTAAGTATAGAAAAATATATGTACTAATTTAGTGAGTGTCTGCAGTAATATGTGCAAATGCAAGTGTTTGCAGTGCATTTTCCCTGTTTGATAACACTTTTGCATTGCATTCATTTGCTCACGCGGCTGCACTCCCTTCAGCTATCAGGAATAAGACCGATACTTGAAACACAATGACCGATCGAATGGATAGCACTGGATAAAATAACTCTCTACACTTTGGTGATTGTCAATGTTACAATCTAGACAACATATTGAAAGCTTATACACCTTTTTTATCAAAGTGTAACTCAGATAAGAATTTTTTCATAAATCCAAATTTAAAATGCAACTTTTACCATCGGAGGATTCATATATCCGTCCACAATCCCCGTGGTTCATTTCTTGGAAAATCTCCGTTGAAGAGAACAAACCCAGGCAACATAAACAAGGCATTTAAGGAAACTAGGGAGAAACTGCTGAATAGCATCTTCATTGTCAACTCCATTTTGATCATCCCGACTCCCGATCCTAAGTATTCTCTTCAGAAGAATTGCCTAAAATACAAGCACCTCTATTTTGTTTAAAAAGATGGTGTGGGACCAAGCCGGCATCTATAGAAAAATTGAAACATGTGAAACGAGCAGAACTTACATTCATATAAGTAACTGTGAAGTTACCAAGGCATTTGAAGTTGGAATTGAGAAATAGAATTGGTGGAAGAGTGTGAAAACATAATTAAACTCTTCACAAACTTATTAACCTATCAAAACACTTCTTTACTTCAGCACTCGTTCTTTTCTTGGCATTCACTCCTGATGTCACGCGCCTTCCTGTTTTTCCAACTCACTTGTAGTAGAATGATGCAACAAACTTTGTTTGGTGACATGTAACTCATAAATTAAATTGAAATGGTGGTAAACCTTTCATAGCGACTCTCCTTCAATCATCAAAACTAAAGTAGCAACATACAGCTGAAATTCTTGAACAAATGACTTGAGAAACCAAAAACAATTTCAGAAAGATGAGAATATCACACAACATGATTACCAAATACTATAGGAACTCACTCTGGGATACAAAACTCATAGGAGTCTATCCTGCCATACAAATAAGCATAGAAATTAGGGCTCGGTGATGGGTAAAACCCTCTTCCAGTTGACCAAACAGTTCACGTATTAACCAGCAATAGCAACCAGAATATATGTCTATGAAGTTTAGGAAACTAAAATATCCAAAAAATGAATGTCACCAAATGAATTGTTCACCACTAACTAATCTTGAAACGTAAGTTGCTGCTAGAACACGGAGCACAGGAAAAAGTGGCATCCAATCCACACAAAAAAGCATATCCCATTATTCAATTGAACCATAAAAATTCATTCACGCAAAATTTTACCGAACTAGAATCCTCTACTTATATTGTAGTACCAAATCTTAATAAAGTGCATCAACAAGCACAGTAAACAAATTAGCTAATACAGTCTTGAAAGGTTCACTTGAGATCAGAATAACCAGACAAAGACAATGATAAATGACAGTTTAATTTAATAACCACCCTTGAGATCGTTAACCACATCATATGGAATAGGAGTAACTGTCTCCAAAGTTGCACCTTCAACCATGAATCCAGGTTTGGGTCCCTTTGGCTGCCTCTTGGTACTAATCACTTCACCTCTTGCATTAGCCTCAGCCTTAAGTTTGTCGTTTGTCTTGACTCTTTGGAGAAATTCCTCATGACACCTCGAAGGCTGCACATGCTCCACCCGTACATGGATCCTCTTTCTTATGATTCTGTTGCCTACCTGCATCATGTATATTCTCCACTTTTTAAAGGCACGACAATGTAACAATTGCGAGCTAAACAAATCAGAGAAACAAGTATCAAGCATGCACACTAAAAAGCACTAGCACGCACAAATACACATTAAAGCTCTATTTGGTACAAGAGACTGGACTCCAATTGCCATAAACAAGACTTTAGCTGATTTCTGTTTATTCTAGTAGAATCCAACATACCAAACAAGCGGCAAAGGAATGAATATGAAAGCAAAAAATTCCAAGTCATTAAAAATAAACTTTACACTAAAATTCCGTAAGTCATACCCTGATCAAGAAAGAGCTTAATTCAACTCTCATCTGGAAAAAGGGCTTTGGGGATAATAAGGTTGAACTTCAAACAGAAAACCAAACATTTGGGTTCCCCTCTATGATTTTTGTTACAAGCAACTTAAATATCCTGCATTTGTCTAGCATATTTTCTTATGGAGTTAACTAGCTGATGATTTTGTGAGGCTGCTTTAACTTTCACAATTAAACTAAACAGTGGATGCATCAACTGTCACTCAGCAATCTAAAGCCAGTATATATGGCTCAAAATACACAAACAACCAATATTTTAAAATTGATGTCCTCAAATTATATGTTTAAGAATAGTTAATGAATTCACTACTTAAAAATAAAAAAAATAAAAAATCGAACCAAAAAGCAGCAATTAGATACATAAATCATTCATATTCGTGTATATATATGCCTAAATTAGTAGAGCAAAGTACAAAAAATACTAAAAGAAGATTTTCCAAGTGAGAAGGGACTTTGTTCTCAGATAAAATTAAAATAACGGGGTAAAATCCAATAAACAATAGAAACAGATACATACATATATGAATATATATAATCCACCACATCAATGAGAACATTTACAAGTTCATTACAAGAAAACTCCCTGCTGTCAACATTTCTATCAATCTCTCACAAATAAACAAAGAAAACGCATATAGACATTCAGATATTAAATAAAAACACGAGATGCGATAAGGTTTATCTTTCGAACCTGCTTGTTGACTTCGACGCCGACGGCGCGTTTGGTTACATTCCAGACGCGGCCAGTGCGGCCATGATAGAATTTGTGCGGCATGCCTTTGTGAATCGACCCGTTCACCTTAACATCGACATAGTCTCCAATCTTGTAGGTCCGTAGGTAGATCGAGAGTGGCGTAGGCCCCTTCTTCCTGAAAGGGCGCGAAAATGAATCCCTAGTTCGTGATCTCAAACCATGTCCAGCCGGCATTTTTTCTGGTTTTAGCTTGCTCTGTGCTCGTGGGCGAACGGTGTGACGAGACGATTTGAAACCCTAGTGGGAGATGGGTTTTTATATGTGAGCTGGGTAGTTAAGGTTTTGAACGGGAATGGGCTATTTCTTTTTTGTTGGGCCTATCAATTCAGTTTTATTAGTTCATTTGGGCCTGAAAATGGATGGGCTTTTGGAGCCTCAGAGACTGGTCTAGCACAGATATAGGGCCAGACCAAACGAGTCCAGAGGTATTAAATCATCAAAAGTAGGGTTATTTGCACAAATTGCAACAAATCTAAGGCCCTTGTGTCAAATCAGGACCTTCTCTTTCATTTTTTGACAGAACCATCCTCACATCAGTGTTTTCGTGGTCATTTTTACAAAAAATGGAATTTTTCAGTCAACTAGATGGAAATCCATTGAAGGACAATCTACATATCAAAACCTTGTTTTCAAAACAATTGTACCAAGAATATAAGAGTATGTCTTTTCGTTCGTAATGAAAATAATCGAGTTGATTCGAAAATTGTATATTTAGATGTTTTGATCTTCTTTCTCTATTTTTATTCATGCATTGCCTTCCTTTCCTCAAAGAATCGTTGTAGTTATTCGTAAATACAAACACATGTGTTTGGACACCAGCTGAAAATAAATTTTATACAAATAATTTTCATTTTGAAGCCCGAAGTCCCTGTTTTTCAGCATGTTTGGGAGTGATTTTTTGCCAAAAAAAATTAATTTTTTAATCGTTATTTCACTATTTCAATCGTCATATTTGACTCCTCTCAAAGATGGACCCCACTTTTCTCCTAAAGATCAAAAAATCAATTCTTAAAATCACTCCCAAACATACTCTTGAACTCTTGTTTTTGCAAGTCCAGCTGTTCAAAAGACAAATGGTTTATGTTAACAATTTCAACGAGTTAATTATTTTAAAAATTTACTAATTTACTTATAAGTGAATGTTTAGCATGCCATAATTTCTTCCATGGTCCAAAAGAAAGGAAAGAAAATGACATGTCACATGTACATGCATTAATTATTGTCTGCAGAGTTTGGTGTCCTTAAAAGTACACATCATCAGTGTTGTCCTAAATTTCAATGAATACTTCTTCCTCAGAATTGCCCTTTCGATGTCTCCAATTACATTGAGTGAACGATGAGATCTAAATGGTTAAATTTAGTTTTCCTAATATAGTACATCAGAATTTTATGTTTACTGTTTAGTATTCAAGAATGTTAGAGCCAAATGAGAAATCAATGGTCTCACTCACGGTCCTCCACATAACTGGTATACACCTAACAGATGATTGGTTGATCGTATATGACTTTATCGCGGACTATTGAACTCAGATGTGTAATCGGACATTATCTTTCATTTGAATGAAATGTTATGAGCACGTGATTAGGTCAGTTTGCTAAACAACTTTAAAAAATAGACGAACGGTCAGAGATAAAATTCCGAGTATGCTTAAATTACATTTCAAGACATGACTTGCTAAGTTAACGGGGAGTGCAATTATTGGCGAGATTCAAATTTTGAATATAGCTTTTGTAATGATCTTAATCCGAAGAAGTTCGTCTAATATTCAGTATCTAGACGGAAATTTTCATGAGATGATCTGATTTTTCTAATCCAACCATGAATGGGGTGGTGTCCCTGAAGACACTATCCTATGATTTTAGTTTCTTTCAACAAGTGGACTTAAGCATGCCACCTTTGTTGGATTGATGATGAGCCTCGATTTGTGTCAAGAGAACTTCCCACTTCCAATATTCTTAAAGGCAGATGTTCCACATCATTTAAAGTTTGATAGTTACATATGCATGCAATTAACAAAAATCTGGCCCATCCCTCATTTTCATCTCTCAAAATTTGAAGAAATGCTAGCTGTTCTTTACCTGCAACTACCCCAGAAATATCAGAGACTCACTACTGGATTGGATTATGGAAAGAGAAATATTATATCATCTCTATGAACCCAAAAAAAAAAAAAAAACAGTTAAGATTATTTTAGAACTTAGAAGAGAACAAGCAGTGAAATTAAGTTTCATAAGATTACAAATGGACTGAAATACTAGAATAAAAATGAACAATTTGTGAAGAGTCAAATTGCACAAGACATAAGCTTCTTGAACATCAGAACCGTACTAATTGAAGTCGATTTCATTTACATGCTAACTGATACCACGAAATAAGATTAAGAAACAGATCGGTTATACATTAATTAATAATAAAAAATACCTCAGTCGAATGAAAATCATAGCCTGCCTCGGAGAATGTTATATGCTGTTCCTGAAGAAATGTTAAAGGTGTAAATCCAAACTTACATGATCTTGCATACTTGGCTTTGATTCGTACCCAAACCTGCTTTGAGATTCTGAGCCTAGCTTCAAATCGTGGTTAGAGAACAACGGCAGCTGATGAGTTGATGAATGGACGCGTCTAAAGGCCGTCGAAGTATGGACGGATGGGATTCGGCATAAGGCCAAGGGACTACCATTAATAGGTGGTCGAGAGTAACTAGATCCATAGTGACCATAAAACCCGTTATTTGTAGCACTGTAATTGGTCCATGAATTATAAGCAGGTGCTGGGCCTGAACCAAGGGGATAATTCATTACACCATAGAGGTGAGGGTGATCAGATACAGAACCATGCACCATAGCAGATTGAAGATGCAGCCTTTTAGCATGTTGACGCTCTCTCTTGTGCGCATTTTGATGACCTCCAAGGGCTTGTGAAGTAGGGAAGTTTCTGCAACAGTAATGGCATTCGAATTTTCGGCTGCTTTCGCCATTATACTCGTAGTCTTTGATCTCTTCACGAGTATTAGTATCGGGAAACAGCTCCTGTACTTCACGAGGATCAGTAGAAATAGAGTCACCTCCAAATTCTTTACCAAATAGCCTAATGGCCTTTTCTTTCACCGGTGCTGGACGAATGAATGGCAATTGAGAGAACGATTCAACGTTCACGAAGTCTCGAGTTTCTCTCTGATCTGTCTTCTCCATGAAAGTAGTCACCACACTTTTGGAGAATGAGAAAGAAAGTGCAGTGAGTAGAGGTTAAGGGAAAGAAGAGAGATGTTAAGAAAGGGGAAGAAGTCCTGTATATGGGGTATTTTTGAGGAGGAGTATGGTGGGGCCTATAGAATTAACCTCGAATAAGGCCTAACAAGGCACCGCATTTTGATGTTCATATATTTACACTTTTGGTATGCTTCCATGTTTATAGATAATAGTGTTATTATATATCTGATTTATTCTTTTGAGGATTTTAATAAATAAGGCTAACACTAACCTCTTCCTTTTTCTATAATACCTTTGGTGTCCAATTCTTACCAACAAATTGAAAAGCACTACCTATAAATCCGATATCTAGAAACAAAAAGCTTTGATCCTTTCATTCAGGGAGGAATAACTTTTTATCATATTACAACACACTGATTAGGCATACTAGTGAATCTACAAGGACGTTGCTTATTGGTAGTTAACTATTTTTACAATTGATTAGACTCGAAGGAATTTAACTATATATTGTCCTATAATAATTATCATTATTTGCGAATCGTATTAATTAAACAATGCTATAAGATATTCAATCACATGAAATTAATTAGTTGTTGAAGATGTACTAATCTTTTAAAGAAAGAATTTGAACTTTCGTAGCCGTTTGAAGAAATGATATCTAATAAGACGATATGCACTTGTAACAATAGAACTCGGATTAATTTCTCTGCCTTAACATTGTTTAATTTCTAATATTATATTAAGCCCTTGTTTGTTGCCTATTATTTGGAAAGTTAAAGAGTTTTGAATAATATTTTTTTGAGAATGTGTGGTTAAAAATATTTTTATTGTGTGAATGTGTGGTGGAAAATAATACCGTAGTAAACAATTTAAAACTTGAAAGGGTGCCAAGCAGGAACTAGGGGTGAGGTTGGACAGACTTGTAACTCTTGCTCTTGTCCCTCCTATATCTTCCTCGTTTTTTTTTTCCTTCTTTTCTGGTTATGTTAATTGAATGCAGTTTACATGACGTGTATTAATCAATAGAATGAGAGGGATATGACTGAGTTGCAATGGTGGGGGTCTCCTCCATTCCGAGAGTTTGGACCATATTCTATACATATAATGTTTGCTGGTGGTCCTGTATATGTTAAGAGGGATTAATTCTGAAATTTTTACACTGTTTCCTTAAATTGTAACTGCAGTCCAGCATATGCAATTTACAGCAGAATATTCTTTCACCATCCTCATTTTGGCGGTATTATGGCATTTATTCATCTTCATTTAGAAATTGATAGAGCAATTCTGCCTGCAAGTGATTTCCTGGTTGAGTCAAGACTCTTTAAGTATACGCTATTGTTAGGTAGGAGAAGACTCGACTATATACGAAAAAATTTAATTTTTTTCTTTCCTTAGTGACTATAATTAATGTATCAAACATGTCACATTTTATAGTAGAATATTGTGGTTGTTTGAGGTAAGACTAGCAGTCTTCTATTGGCAATTTTGTTGCAAATTATTAGGTTTTTCTGCAATACAAATCTTCGTTTTACACGTCTCTAATGCATAGAATAATGCTGTTGATTATTGGATCTTTGTATTCACCACATAGTCGAACCAATTGATCAATCTGCGCACAAAATTCAGCCACTCAGATTTGTCAGAAATAAAGAACTCAAACGGCATCTTCAACAGTGAGGGAACAGTTCCGTCAACATTGATTTCCAACTTAGTTTCACCACTTTCAACGTTAAATGAACAATCCATATTAGTGAGAGCAATTAATAAAGCGAAACAAGAATAACAAAAGATAAGAGATACACGATTTTAAAGGTAGTTCACTATTAATGTGAGAGCTATGTTCACACAGTGACACAATAATATTGCACCACGTCAAAGGAAGACTCACATCTCATAGAAGTACTCACGCCTCTCTGTTTACGGTGGAATATATATCAATTTAATTATGTGCACATATTTAGTCAATGTTTACAACAGTCTGCTAAATTGTTGCACGCTTGACTTGTTTTGCAATTATGCTCATACAACACAACTCTCAACTGCTTATTTCACATCTTAACTTAATTATGATAATTCAATCTTTAATTCTTTGCCATATTTCAAGACAAGTCATTATTGACATTGTTGCACATAATCATTTCTTAGTTTTGTGTTTTAATGGAAGTACCCCTTTGATAGACAGCACTCTTTCAATAAAGTGGGACCATTTCGCATTGAACATGCCTTAAAAATCCACATCAAGACAGCCCTTCACTCATGCAAAACCCTTCTTTGCCATTAAAGTCATAGTCACATGAGTAGATGCAGTCAAGGGGACCATATGTGTGTATATAAGTAATTATGGGATTAATTTAATTGGACTACACAAGTTGTGCCTTGATAAAGTAGAAAATTATCTGATGTGAACCTTTTGCCAGTACTTATATTCCTTTGCTCCATCATATGTTATGGCAACATCCTATGCCACGTCTCATGACTATGACTATATTGTTTTATGACGAGCCCATAATTTTTTTTTTCTCCATATAGGTTTATTTCGATGAAATGTAGCCGCCCAATAAAAGAAAGAAGAAGAAAGTAGCAATAAGGGAATCTCGAACATGTTAGAGGAAGTGTTGTTTATGTCTGAAAATTTTGCCTTTTATTAAATCTTCTTTTGTTGGTGCCACTTAAGCATTAATCCTCTACTTTGACCTGTTGACTTGGTCTTATTTCTCGTTTTGTAGCATGCTCGACCATTTAGATTTTCTCGTTTTAACCATGTACTGTCAGTTTAGGTTAAAGATTATGAGCAGAAACACACATAATTTAAGGAGATCATTGAGATTTCAATTGTGTGTATTTAATCTCATTACCCCGGACAGTAGTTGTTTTTATGCACATCTTTATCTCTACTATGTGGATATAAAAAATGTGTATTTTGAAACCAGCTCCTTCAGAAACGCATGTCACCATCCTGGGAAACCCTATTTTTCTTTAAGTGGTGTTTAAATCTTGTTTCTAATGTGGATAGGTTGCTTTGTCTTTGTTCCTTGAATCATTTTCAGAAATGAACTCCTGTCTTCAACTTTGTGCACTACCCCAGTTTGCATCTTGGATTCAATTATCAGATTACAGTTTTTACATTTTCTGAAGCTCGAAATTTTGATGAATGAACGTCCAAGTAAATTCGGAGATTCCAACATCAAAATCCCTTGAAAATCTAAAGACAGTACTGATATTCCACCGACGGTTCTGCTCAAATTCAAAGAATTGGGTTTCACAATCTGAAAAGTATCTTCATCATTAATTCATTCTCTATCTATTAATAGATTGAACCACATCTAACTGCAACCTGCTAAACCATAAAATCGATTAATTATTTTGTAATCACAATAAATATTTGTTTAAATAGACATGGGATATTAATTAGGTGGTTAATGCAACATCTGATAAAGAGGCCTTTAGTGGTCCAAACTAAGCTTCATTTACAGACAACAATGACATTGATGGATAGTGCCATTGCATCAAGCTTTTAAAGCAGTACTCCAAAAGTTGTTCGATTCGAAAAAAGTCAATAACGAGTGACAAACAAAATTAGGGATTGATTTATAACAAAGTTTCCATTGCAAAATCTATTCCTTTCCTTTCCATTCTATCAACAACTAATCTTAAAAAATTCACAAATCTAGATCGACTAATTATTCTTGAACAGCAGCTTCATACGTAGAGATTTCTTGATTGAGAATTGTATTGAAATCTTGAGTAAATGTCATATTTTCAAGATTGAAATTCATATTTGAAGAAATTAACTTCGTAATTATAAGAATTTCAGTTTTTTAGTTACGAGCCTTTAACTATTAAAATTTAAATCCATAGTTAACAAGAACAAAATTTCTGGCTTTAATATAGTGTTAGACACCGTGACACCAAACGGATATTATTGTTTCATTTTGGTCACCAATCTTTTTTTCATTTCGAACTAGTCACTACACTTTTATTTTTGTTTTCTTTTAACCACGTCGTCTACCTCCATTTAATATATTGAATTTGTCATCCATATTAACAAAACACATATAATTATAAATTTTCTTTTTTCATAATTTAGATGACAAGATCAATGCATTTAAGTCACATCATTATTTTGTTTTATAAATTCATATTTCTGTTATTTTCGAAATATAGAGAGGAAATAGAAGTGCCTTAATTGGGATAAATTATATTTTCGATAAAAAACTTAAAATGAAGGGGAAAAAAATTAAAGCTAAAATAAAATAACACCATAAATTCAGTAAGAAACATTGTTTTTAACCCCAATGGTATATGCCCTTGTTTGAGCCCCATTTTAGGGGATATAATGAATTTTTGAATAGTGTATTGATGTGAAATGTGTGGTTAAAAAATAAGAAAAAGTTTTAGATTTGTGTGTAATATTATTTTATTAAAAAATGTGTGGTTGAAATGATGTCAAAACACTGTTAAAAATGTATTTTTACCAAAGAATGGGGATCAAACAAGGGCATCAGTGTTGACATTTCTTGTGATAGTGACGTACATAGATGGCCCCATTCCTGTTCACATGTAATTTGACATATTATTTGACAGAATAATTAAATGTGGGCTCTCATGTTATTTTCTCCACTTGCATTGGTTTCTTTGCATCCACATTCTTGTTTTTTGTTCTTATTTGCAAAAGTATCTATCTATTCAAAACAATTTTTTATTTTTTTCTGTACATATATTCCAAACATTAAATGCCTTTTTCAAACATTAAATAGCCTTTTTGAACATACATGTGAAAAACTAACATGAGATGAGTAGAGAGTTGTGATGTTAGAAATTCGAAGCTCGGTAAAATTATATATATAAAAATAAATTTGAGGATGAAAAAACAATTCAATATCGAACACGAGAAATATATTTCTTAGCAAATGTGGTTGAAAAAATATTTTATGGCGCCCCAATTTTGCAATGAAAGCCCTTACTTCTCAAATAGTAGGTAATCTAAGGAAAAATGAAAGGAAAATTTGCAGGTTTATTTTTTATTATTCCCTTAGCCATACATTATTATATAATTAAGAGATTTAATGATTTTGCAAAATCTGAAGGGGTTTATTTTTTATTCCCTTAATTAAGGGATTTATTATTGATC